ATACCAAAGCCCGGCTAGCATCATCAGCATCAGCTGCACCGTGCCTCGCCGCTGCCCTCCTTTGTGCTGTCTCCTTTGTGCTGGCTCACATGGCTGTCTGGCCATAACAGAAGCACAGGCATCATCGGCAATCAAACCGAAGAGGACAGCATCATGAGCATCAGCTGCGACGCTCCTCGCCAGTCTGCCGGGCCTCAGCGAGCATCACCAGCATCAGCTCCGAAACTTTGGCAATCAATATGCAGAGGCCATAATCAACAGCATCAGGCGCTGCACCAGTATCAGATGCGGCGCTCATGTTGACTCTTTGCCCCACCCAGCGAGTCACAAAGCCTCGGTTAAGATGGACGGAAGCAAAACTCGTTCTCGTTGGTACTGATGCTTCATATTCCATGACGATCAGGGCCAACATCGCCTCCTCTAACGTCGACATGAATATGCGACGCATGAAAATGTCGTCATCAGCCTGACCACCACCATAGTAATTACTGTACTGCTACTGATTACTGTCGTCGTCATCGGGTTTTGCATTTTGGACAACATGGATGACGAACCTATGTGCAAAGACTTGCATTCTCAGAGTTGATGGTCGATTTTGCTTCTAGATTTTAAGGTGCCGCTTCAGACCGAGCAATTGTGTAAAGTTCGCCCCCCCACCAGGATATCACTGCACCTTTCAGGTTTGACGAGCTGACGGTACTTTTTTCTTGGTTGCGTAATCTGCACGCTCCAGACTCCTGACTTGTTGTTGACAACAGGGCTCCGTATGCTGCCTACAATTAGGGTTTAGGGCTACCTGGAGGTTCATGGGTAGTTATAAGTGGAGTTCTAGGTCCCCTAATATGGGTTGTAATCTAGTTAACCTACTTACAGCCCCACTTATAACTACCCATGAACCTCCAGGTATAAGACTCTAACTGAGTGAATGATAGAAGCAGAAGGCAGCTCTCCAGTCTTAAGCTCGACTATCGACATATCGTGGTGAACCTACATGGGAGTTTCCGAAAATAGGGGGTAGTCCTTATAATATGGATCCTACTATTTAGGGTACTATAGTAGGGTCCCCTATTTTCGGAAACCCCCCATATCCACAATTCCAAACCTCGGAGCCCAAGGTCGATAGCGATCTCCGGTATTTGAGCCGAAGAAGAAACCTTATAAGAACCCCTACGAACCCTGATTGATAAGAATGGAGCCCCTATGCAACCTTATTATGAACAAAAGATCCTAAAACCCTATTGCCAATAAGAGCCTTTGTAACACCCTATTCATGGTCAGACTCCCTACAGAGCCCTTTGATTAAGACCCCTTTCTTTATTTAACACCTTATGATGAGCGCGCCCTTTTTCCCACCTGTGATTAAACTCCATACATTCTAACCCTTAACCCCTAAACCCTAAAACTCCGAAACCCTAAACCCTAAATCCTAAAACCCTAAACGCTAAAACCCCTAAACCCTAAACCCTAAACCCTAAAACCCCTGAACCCGAAACCCTAAACCCTAAAACCCCTAAACCCTAAACCCTAAACCCTCAGACAGTCCAACCCCGAGAGGCGACATCAGTTGCAGACTGCAGTCCAACAGGCTCGCGGCGAAGCCGTGGCCTCGACGACGCGAATACGATAGGGGCCTCAATATTTAGAATAGGGTTCCTTTAAAACGGTCCTATAAGGGTTACAAACAGGGGTTCTATAAGAAGAGGCCTTAATGATTAGAATAGGGTTTTTGGGGTTCCTTTATCATAAGTATAGTATAATAGACCCAAAAATGTTTTTTTCATGATTGAGGCGTTTATATTAATGGTTTAGGGTTTGAGGTTTGTGTGAGAATAGATATCACGGGGTTAGGGTTCGATGAAGGTGTTTGATCTGAGGATAAAGTGATCTAGCCAATCTACTTCCTTTTCCATTGGAAATGCCATATATCACCAAAACCATGTTCGGATTGGAAAGTAAAGGCCCCGATATTTAATCCCAGACACCAGCCACCACTAGACAGGAAGTTCCGAAACGAACTCCTTTAACCCCCAAGTCCTGAACCCAAGGGTTCTACACTACTGCCCACATCCCAAGCTGCACCACTTGAAGCTCAAATTCGCGACCCTGGGTGGGACGTGGAAGCCCGTGACTATCCCACCATGCCATACGATGCTATACCACACTGTGCTATGCATCATTACTACAATATACCTATGGTATCTAATCATATGTGATATCAGATTGGGATAGATTACTGTATGTTGTAGTTTAGTATACTGTATTTTATTTTAAAATATTATATTATATAGTAGTAAGTTATATGATTATACATGTGTATATATATATACATACATACATACATACATACATACATACATACATACATACATACATACATATATACATACATACATACAGCAACGTGTTTTCGGGCTTCGAGCATGTACTCGTAGAGTTTTGTCTCCAACCAACCACATGCTTGACGTGTAAACAGACTGTGTGCTTTCATGTGCTTGATGCACGAATACCACCTTGTCCCTCGAATCCATGCCTGGAGTTGTTCTTGGGAGACTAGAACCAGACCATGCTAGAAGTCAACACATCCAAGTTGCCGGGAACCCATACTTGTCATCAGCGAAAGCCACGTTGCCTAAGACCCTCAAGCCCAAGAAAGGCTGCGACCCAGCACCGGTTGGCGGAGCAGGAGCGACACCAGGCCACGGAGAGGGCGAAGAGAGGCTTAGGGTTCGGGGCTACGACGTCAAAGATTTACAGGGTTCTGGGGGGTTGGGGTTTACTTTAGGTTCAAGTCGCAAACTTTTGTGCGAAAGCCTTGCAACGACTCGAAGTTTTTTGGCTGATTGAGGACTCGGAGATAATGTGAATGTGCTCGATTGATCAGAACGGCTGTCAGAAATTGCATCCATCGGCGCCACATCCCGAGCCCTCAGCCCTTATTTCGTCATTCACATCTGATAGTATAACGTATCACCGCACTTTTATTGTATGCTACATTATGTTTTATTACAATACAGTGTATAGTTCTCGATTTGTCAATCCCATATATAATAATGTTATAACATGTCGTATGTTCTTGTATATCACATTATGTCTTACCAGATTATAGTATAGAGTTTAGTTTAGTATAAACCCTGGAGCTTCTCAGCATCCAGCATCCTGAAAACTGCTCGAACCCTCGAATCGGAAAGCCTCACGCCCCTATACCCACACAGTAGACTGCCCTGTACCTTAAACTCGTGGGTTTTTTGGGGTCTCGGGCTTGGGGATCCCTGTACCTTAAACTCGTAGGGTTTAGGGTTTGGGGCTTAGGGACCCCTGTACCTGAAACTCGTAGGGTTTTTTGGGGGTTTGGGGTTTAGGGATCCTGGGTAACCATGGAGCAGGTGAGACGTTTGGAGGCCTTGTTGGAGGGCGGTCAGATGAAGCTGCAACGCAGCACTGCGGACCTTGAGGCCCCTTCATCTAGAGTTTAGGGTCTTTAGGGTTGAGGGTTTAGGGTTGAGGGTTTAGAGTTGAGGGTTTAGGGTTTAGTGCGGCTTGGTCCCGTCATCTCCGCCATCCCCCAAACTGCTTGAAGCCTCAACTTGTCTATCGACAGTCTTGTGGCGTACATGTGTTGTGCATAAAGAAGTGGGCAAATAGATGGATAAACAACTACAACCAGACATATCCATACAAATAACTATGTATTGATGTATGTATTTAGTTATTCACATATGTATATATATGTATGTGTATATACACGTATACATATATATATATATATATGTATATGTACATATCTGTTCTTCGATATGTACACACATGTGTGTGCATATATAAACACATGCAGACATATGTACATACACACTTTATGCGCGTATACATGCACATATGCACCGGGCTCTGATGCAGATCACAGTGAAATGACAACCTAGTTAACCTACCATGCTTTGAGTGCTGCACCAGACCGCGTTACCTTGCAAACCGGTGTAAGCCCAGCTATGTGTGTAGGTATGTATGTACACACATAAAAAAAAAACATGTGGAGAGATAGAGATAGAGAGGCACAGAGACTGCGAGAGATGGTGCGTGAGTGAGGGAGTGATTTCGGGAGGGAGAGAGGGAATGAGGAGGGAACGGAGGGAGGGGAGGGAGTCTCTGTCTCAAGAATTCACATTCCGTTGTTTGTGCAGTCTCCTTAGATTTCCGGACACTCCCATATCTCTTAAAGGCGAGGTGGCCAGGCTTAAACCGTAAACCCTTCAACCCTACTAAACCCTAAACCCTAGACCCTAAACCCTAAACCTTAAACTCTGAACCCTAAACCCTAAACTCTAAACCCTAAACCCTAAACCCTAAACTCTAAACCCTAAACACCGAACCCTAAACCCCAAACGCTTAAACACGAAACCCTAAGCACTTGGCCAGGCCTTGCGAAGGTGTTTGGAACATCAGCGTTCTCCAGCTGCTCTAGGCCTGTCTGGCCCCAGCTGTCGAGAGAGGCTTTAACTAGTTCACCATGAGATTTACTATAAGATTGATATTACTGTGATTAGTATTGCTATGAGTAGTCTAATAGCAGAAGTGTCGTCGTAGTAGCAGTAGCAGTAGCAGTAGCCATCATGAGTTTTTCTATAAGATTGATATTACTGTGACTAGTATTGCTATGAGTAGTCTAATAGCAGAAGTAGTCGTGGTAGTAGCAGTAGCAGTAGTAGTATGGTAGTAACATCAGTTTTGTGATTATTGCTAATGTTGGTATTACGTTTGCTACTCTCATTTCATTTATTTACCATTACTGTGTTTAGTATGTTGAATATGATTGCTATGCCCAATATTAACACTACTCGATTACTACTATTTTTGCTGTTCCTACTATAGCTAGTATATTTGTAAACGCCCACACTTTCTGCTGGCACGCTGCTTCGGGTGTTTAGTATGTTGAATATGATTGCTATGCCCAATATTAGCACTACTAGATTACTACTGTTTTTGTTGTTCCTACTATAGTTAGTATATTTGTAAACGCCAACACCTCCTGCTGGCACGTTGCTTCGGGCAGGGAGCTCTGTGCAGGAGCGGGAGCCTCAGTGCTTCCGAACCTTTCTGGCGCCGATGGTGGTTTAGGGTTTATGGTTTAGACAGCCCTAAGGCAAAGAAATGACAGATTCGATTCTCAGGAATACCCAAGCACTGCAAAGACAACCGTGTTGTAAAAGCTCAGAAAAGATGGTGTCATGGCGACTGTTGTGGGATCCTAAACTTCACTTCGTGCAACCAGCATCCTTTCGACACTCTTGCAAGTTCACCCAGAGGCTGAGATTCGGCGCCTTAGAACCCCTTCGGGCAGGTCGAACTGGCAAACTGCAGGGTTCTGAAGCAGCGGGAACATGGTAGAGAGGAGCATGATACCCGAGGCACTGTACGGTGGATCTAGAGCCTGGTGCCCAGCCAAGCAAGCAACAAATGGGGGTTTCCGAAAATAGGGGACCCAAATATAGTACCCTAAATAGTAGGACCCTTGTTGTAAGGACCTCAAAGTAAGGTACCCCCCCTACTTTCGGCAACTCCCAAATACGCCTGAGTTCAGGTCCCCGTCTGTCAACGAGCTGAAGCAGCAGGTGGAGCGAGAGTACAGCAAGGCAGTCTGCAGTGCTTGTGTTCTTGGTTTGTGCAGGATGTGGGGCCGAGGTTTACAGTTTAGGATTTAGGGCTTTGGGTTTAGGGTTTTGGGTTTAGGGTACAGACTGTAAACGACATCGTATAGCAGTGGAAATTTGGCTACCATGCCCCTGTGCTGCAGTGGTTTCCAGGCAGAAACCATGCTGCGCGAAGATCGGTTGTACGCTACTGAAGCTCGGAAGCCGCACTGTATTGAAGAGACTTCGGCGGCCACCATCGCCACATCAAGTTCGCCTCGTCTGGCTTCTGCAGGGTGCTCCAACGGTTTGGCATCGGACAAGGCCTATTAGTAGCGAAGTGCCTCATCGTTGTGAACTTGAATCCTAAACCCTAAACCCTAAACCCTTCATCTCCGTGACAAGGATGGAGCAGAAGGAAGGGGTGGGTTGCCTGATGTGGGCATAGTTTCAGCCAAGGGTTTTTATCACCCGCAAACAATAGTACCTGACACGTCCGAGTGAAACCCGATCCAGCTTGCCATCCAGCCCTCAAGCCCTAAACCCCTCAACCCTCTACGTCAAAAGAAATCCTAAACCCTAAACCCTAAACCCAAGTCCTCAAAAAAAAAACAAGAGAACCCTAAAGCCCTAAAGGCAAAAGGAGCAATGCATCAGATCTCTTGGCCCAGGTGGGGGAGCTGGATGCAGAGCAGCAGAGCCTGCAAGCCGAGGCTGGTCCCTGTGGGCTGGGGTTTTAGGGTTTCCGGGTTTGGGGCTTGGGGTATAGGGTTTGGGGTTTGGGGTTTAGGGTTTGGGGTTTTAGGGTTTAGGGTTTTTGGGGTTTAGGGTTTGGGTCTTTGGGGTTTAGGATTTGGGGTTTAGGGTTTGGGGTTCCGGGTTTAGGGTTTGGGGCTTTGTGGCTGAGAATTTGGGGTTCAGGGTTTGGATTTAACCGTAACATTCGTAACGCAGAAACCCATCATGGGTTTTTTAGGGCACGTAGGTGCTCAAGACATCTGCAGCTTCCTGGTTTTCGGATTCAGGGCTTTAGAGCTTCGGTGGTTAAGGGCTGACAGGTGGCCTTTAGAAGCTTTAACGCTTGCAGGGCTGTACGATTTCAGGTTTTGGGTCATAATCATAAGGCCTTGGCAGGCGTCCGGGGTTCGGTTCCCCCAGCACTACAGTGACAATAGCCTTAGCCGCGAGTGTGCTCTTGTGTCCTACTTGGAGGTTCATGGGTAGTTATAAGTGGAGTTATAAGTAGGGTAACCATAATTATAACCCAAATTAGGGGACTTATAACTCCACTTATAACTACCCATGAACCTCCAAGTACTAGGCCCTTCTGAACCCTAAACCTTTTGTGGCCCATGTGTGTCCGATGCGTGAAGGTCCTGCGCCTGCGAGCAGAGCTACGACGACTCAAAGGGCTAAAACCGACTTAGACAGTGAGATTCAGGATTTGTCTCTGGCTTGCATGTTTGTTGTTGCGGTTTAGGGCATCTAAATTTGAGCCAGCAGTCTTTTTGGTGGTTCGTTTCCTCGTGAAACGTAAGGTTTGCACGTATTGACTCGAAGTACCCCAGAAGCGTATTCCAATTGATCAGGCCCCTACTTGGAGGTTCATGGATAGTTTTACGTAAGTGGAGTTCTAAGTCCTCTAATATGGGTTAGAATTATAGTTGCCCTACTTATAACCCCACATATAACTACTACCCATGAACCTTCAAGCCCTAAGGCTCCATGTACCCATATAGTAGATACTTAAGCCTTAAAGTACCAATATAGGGACCCTTTAAGGCCTATAAGTATCTACTATAAAGGTACATGGAGCCTTTGGGAAGTATATCAGGCAGGTTTATGAAAGCTGCTCCGAATCTCGCGCCGCCGTGTACCACTAGTGAGTGCTTTGCGGCAAAGACCGGCCCAGAGCATGTTCGCCTCGATCCCAGGGCGCATGTAACTTTTAATTGGTTTTTAAACCCAGAGAGCCCAATACCCCTTAAATAAGGAATATACCTTAAATCATAATATTAAGGCCCCTATAATTTAAGGTATAGTCCTTAATTAAGGAGTATTGGACTCTCTGGGAAGTAGCGTCGGTCTGATGGTGGACGAACAGGCTGTGCATAGGTCGTCAAGATTTCGAATGCAATAGTATCGCTGAACTCATGCAAGGCTGCGTGTTCCCCGTTTACTCTCTCGGTGTCGCGGTCATGTTATGTTCGTACACAGATATGTATACATATATACACACATACACGGACACATACGCATACACTTGCACTTAAACCTACACATACACGCATGCATCCATGCATGCTCGCAGAAATATGTGCACATATGTACCTCTGTACACTTGTATGTGTAGATGTGCATGCACATTCACATATACCTACAGACACACATGAAATTGCACAGGTATATGTATATGTACATGAGGTAAGTACGTAAGTTAGAAAGTAAGTCAGTGGCTGAATGAATGATAGCTCTGTTTAAAGCCATCCAACAAGAGGTCCGTCGACCTGCAGCCACCGATCCACTCCGACTTCCGGGTCCGGAAAAGCATATGAAGAGAAGGAAATGGTCGTCCCTAAACCCTAAACCCTAAACACTAAACGTGTATGCGTAGACCTAGAAGAGGGTGCCCTGGCCCTAAACCCTTAACCCTAAACCTCCTCGGTTCAAGTGCTTTTCTGCGGGTCCCTCCAGGACTTCTGTTAACGACTCTGATAGTTAACGGCGCTGCACCGCAGCTGCATGGACTGGGTCATCGCCTGCCAATTCCGGATACCTTAGTTTAGGATTTGAGTTGGAGGGCTGGGGCTTTTTGAAGGGCCTAGGAAGGCATGGGACAATGGGACAGTATTCAAGCAAAGCTTGACCCATACTTCTACCTCCTCGACATAGCCTGGAAATGGGTTTAGGGTTTAGGGTTTAGGGGTTTAGGGTTTAGGGTTTAGGGGTTTAGGGTTTAGGGTTTAGGGGTTTAGGGTTTAGGGTTTAGGGTTTAGGCAGCTTAACAAATTAAATGGCCTTGGTCGCCCTGAACCTGTCGAGGTAGGATGCGGCACGCAATCCCACAAATCGGCTTAAGTACTTCAACCGCAGATGCCATGCCTGTGCCTTTTGGCTTTGATCTGCTCGGATCCGCTTGTAGCCCGAAATCCCCGACGAGTGCTGATATTCTAGATATCTGTTGAAACGGTCTTGTGTTGGTGGGCAGCATAGTACCGTCGAGCTCGAACGCTCTCTTTGTTGTCTTAGATTCGGTTCGCGGACATAGATGAGTTCAGTACCGGGTAATGGGGCCAAAGCTTTCGCGACATTGTGCCTGTCGCCGATATTTCAAGTTTCGAGGGTGAGCTGGGCAGTTACTTCTTGGCTCAGGATATCGATGTAACGCCCGGTCCAGCGGGGTAGCCTTCCGGACTCCACAGCAGCGAAGCTGTGCAAACTCCTCGCAGACATGGACCAAGCACAGTTCAAGGTACTGCAGGTCCTGTGAAGCAAGGGATCGGCCATTGTAGGCAGGTCTGATACTGACTTAGACTGACTTACATGATTCCTCAGCTAGTGCGCTATAGTATATGATAACATATTACGGTGTATGATGGTATACTATCCCACATCATCGCATATTAGCGCATATATTGCAGTTATTGAAGCTGCCGGTGGGAACTGGAGTTTGTGCATCTTCCTGGGAAAGCTCACTCGGAGGAGGAGTGCGTGCGAAAGTGAATCGAAAGGGCTCGTTTTGAGGTGATTGGGTGTATTGGGGGGAAGGGAGTGACTGGGGGCAGGAGGTAGTGAATTGCAGTTGCAAGTCCTCTATCTAGGCATAGCCGTCGGGCACAAGTGTGCCTGTTCTGCCAGCATCATGAAGACTGCCACCGGCGAGTTTCGTCGTTGTTTGACCCAGCAAGCACGGTAGGTCGTCGCATGAACCATGATTCTAATGACTTGCTTTCACACTTGAGCTGAGGGGGTGTACTAGTCACTCAGGTGAGGAAAGGAACCCATGCGCTAGACTCCCAATACGGAGTACGAGTACGTCCCCTGTGATGACGAACTGCAGGAAATAGTTTGGACTTCTTATGTATATAAACAGGCCGTGACCACATATGCATGCAACTCTAAAGCCTGAACCAGAGCTGGGCTAATCGGAGGGTACATGACTTCTCAACTGTCGTTTCTGCAGGGCCTGCCGTCTCCAGATCTCGTCAAGGACAACCCCTACTTCGTGGAGGCGAAAAGCATCCTAACGGTAATTATATCACAATGAATATGATAATAAGAGCGATAGCAATTATGATTTTAATCAGTTATTGAACGGCAGCACCAGCATTGCGCATGCTGCTGCATACTGCGAGGTTAAATTCCGTCGTAAGACTGGTATGATGATCGGTATCAACAGCTGCCGTGATGTTAGTATCACTACCTATCCTGTTCCTACTTTCTGATACCGCGATCCATCATGTCGTTAAGCAACAAACACAATCCCTTCCCCCTGCTAAAGGTCCCCGGCAACATGTGCAGTTGATTTAGCTCATTTCGTCCGGAATCGCAGGGATGACTGCTTGTCAATCAGGCTAAGTGGCTCATCAGAGAGCAAGGTCGGGCTTGTAGTTTTATTTCGGGCTTATACCAGGTTTATATTGAGGCTTGGGATGGGTATGAATGGAGCCGGGCTAGGCGTTCAGCGATTAGCAGGAGAGTATGTAGGGCTTCAAGACATTGCAGTGCATGGGTCATCGCCGGAAACTCTCACGATATCCATTGCGAGTGTGTGCTAGCAAGCGTGAGTGAGACTGGTTCATACAAGAAGCAGAAATATAGGACTGCATGGGGACTGCAGTGACGGCACATGGCAAAGTTAATAGCCTAGATTCTGAAAGAAGAACTGATCATCCTGGCACTATGAAACAAGCCCCCTGACGACAAGTAGTTGCTTCACACCGCTCGACTTAAACAAAATACTACGCCCTTTGATTTTTCGGGGGCAGGGATTCGCACCCTTGTAATGCTAAGATGAGCAAGCTCATCTTCGCAGTTTGGGACTTCAGCACTGTATGGGCTGAGGAGCTTTTCGTGTGTCGTATAGAAGATGCGGGCGCGGACAATTCGAGCGAGTTTGGGGTTTAGGGCGCCAGCAGACCACAGAGTCCGAATGCAGTGTTCATTTTCAAGACGGACATGCGAACGGCTGCTTTGAGGGAGGTTGGGTACAACTCGACTGAAGTTATTGGTCGTCTGCTTCTGGTGCTGGTAGACAAGCCATGCTACTTTGGTTTGCTATTGTTCATCTGCTTCACTGCTTCATCGTAGTCCAACTAAGAACCTATATTACATATGCTTCATGCTTCCTGATGCGACTGCGGAGATTGTCGACCTGCAGTGCTTTGACTTGTATTCCTTGATTTGTGGGATCGTGTTTTCCATAAGAGTTGATAGGATGTGTCCGGTCTCGACGATGCAACATGCCGATCCAAAAGGACCTTACAGTATGCAATCTCTCACGGTAGTTCTTGGGTTCCTAAACCCTAACCCCTAAACCCTAAACCCTAAACCCTAGGCTATCTCATAATGGTTCAGCCGTGTTCCTTTTCCTGCAGTGCACAGGCGCTCAAAAGGTAGGATTAGTTAAGGATGCCTTATGTAAGGACCCTTGTTTGAAGTTACCCCACCTGCCTTCATCCTACACTTGCATCTTTTTGAAGAACTACTACAGGTCACTGTTTGGTACGATGTTGCACTATACAACACGAAGATCTAAGAATATCTAACAAAGGAGTATAGCGTACTACAACATGCTATGATATTCTACTATATACACCCGAAACCCTAAACTCCCTATACCGGTAGAACTTATATCCTGATGGTGGTGCCTGCCCCCCCTCAGGGCGACTACCAAGCGCCTGAGGGGAGCGACAACTTCCAGGCGACCACGGTCCGCACTGTCAGGGCTCAGGGTTGGAGGTTTAGGGGATGTTTGCATTTTTGATGCGTGTGTGTGTGTGTGTACCCATAAATGCGTGTATAGTCTACACGCTTATGGGTGGGCGCGCATGTGCATGCACGCACACATGCATATGTAGAAATGTGTGTATGCAATGTAATGTAATGCAATGTAATGTAACGAGCCATGTTTTTATATCTGTATGTATGTATGCATGTATGGATATATGCATGTATGTATGCATGCATGCATGTACATATGCATGTATGTATGTATGTTTGTTTGTTTGTATGTGTGTAACTGTTTGTATATGTATATGTATATGTATGTGTATACATATATGTATGTATGTGTATATGCATATTTATATGTGTGTATATATGCATGTGTATGTATACACATGTATATATTTATATAAGTGTGTGCATATGTACATGTGTATATCTTTGATCACACACACACACATGCAAACTCAGATGCAAGCAACGCATGCGTGTACACGCATGGTGTCTAAAGATGCATAGTTGTCGACGGCGATGGAGAGTGGCGTGCCTTCGAGGCTGGAAACGTTACTCTGTCGTCATACCTCGGTGCAGTAGCCTCTTCTTAAGTAACAGATGTATGTATATTTATATACACACATTATGTACGTGCTATAGATCTTGCAGATAGGCATAGATGATGCTTCGCGTGCTGGCCGTCGCCTGCAGCTGTTTCAGCTGAGCACAGTGGCTGTTGTGTGTGGGAGCAGGATTCGGCAAGAATGCGACATTTGATACTACACATGATCAGCAATTGCTCCCGAGTTCTTTCCGTCCTGTGGCCCAAGATGGCGTCGCGGGAGGATCCCAAGGAAGCTGCGCCGCCTGCCACGGTGGCCAGGTGCCTGACGCTGCAGCGGACGACCTCGAAAGTGGGTTTTCCTGGTCAGTGCCTTGTCCACAACATGGGACACCAGCTGCAAACAGATGAGGGATGTGCAAAGTGTAGAAATGAGACAATCAGATTAGATCCTCATCTTTGGCGTTTCAACGCAACATCTCCTCGACCGGCTGAGGCCAACTAGCACGCAGAGCAGTACTGCTGCATCGACTGCTGAACAGGAGTCTTGTGTGTGGGTGTGTGTCTGTGCTGGTGTGTCCTTTGATTGTATAGGTCGGCATGCCAGTACGTAACTGTCCCGAGCACCCCCTCACCCCCCCTAAATTGGGGCCAGACACCCAGCTGAGAGGAGTGCGTTGGGTTGTCGCAGGAGCACGAGTTTGTCTTTATGCCGAAAGCGTACAGCGAGGCCAAATAACTTACTGACATGCTGAGGTTGGTGAAGTGTCATGAGGAAGACATGGCTGGTGGTCATCATCATCATCATCATCATCATCATCATCGTCATCGTCACCTTCCTTGTCCCCATTCTCCTCCCTCCCCCTCCTCCTCCTCCTCCTCCTCCTCCTGCTTGTTATCATTTTGTTAGCATCCTTGGCTTCGCCTTGCAGCATCGTCGGCGGCATCATCGCGTTCAGTCAAGTTGTCATGATCTGTTTACCCCTCCTCCGCCTCCACACCATCATCATCAGCCCCGCTGCCACCGTAATCACCACTATTGTCATCACGCCAGTCATCGACGTCTTCAACAACCTCCTGCCTCATAAGTGCATGTAGGTGTTGTCCAGTCTTGTTTTTGCTAGTTCCTCTGGTTGGTTTTCGTGAACCACCACGTTTTTGGTGGTGGTGGTGGTGGTGGTGGTGGTGGTGGTGGTGGTGAGCGGATGTTTTTGTGCATGCTTCTTGACAAAGCTTGCATTTGAGACCAAGCCTGATCTCTCCTGGCAGATGGTTCCCATGACCCGGGAATCGTCGTTCCTTGGCTTGTTTAGTTCCAGACTGCGGCCAAGAGCCTCAGAGCATCACGTGTGAGAGCAGTGTTCCAGGTTTGTGGGACCCGGGCCGGTCCGGGCAAACTCGGACGGCATCGTGCAGTTTTTGCGGGCGGCACCCGACATGGCTCCGACGCAGGACCGCTGAAGACTCCTAAACCCTAAACCCTAAACCCTGAGTTTCCAAGGCTGTGTTGTCGTTGAGCGGTCCTCGTAAGTGCTTGGCCCGGTGAGGTTTTGGTGGGGTAGGGTCGGTGGGCTTGGCGCAGGCCAAGGTACTTTTCTTAGTCCTAGCTGCGGATCGCGTTTTGGAGATTTCCCCACAGTATTCGCGTCACATTCAGTGGGAAGCTTCAACACGCTGCAGGTCTGCTTCGACTTAGCCGGGCCCAGCCGACAAGCAGCATAAGCAGCCATTGGCACAAAGTGACAGCCGCGTCAGAACGACATACTTGCGAGTGCGCATGTTGATTATGATCTCGATGCATTTCTTGTCTTGACTCATGGTTGCCGTCGTGTGTGTACAACGACATGTGCCCATGCCAGGAGGAAATCCTCTTCTTTCCGAAAAGCTTTTCGGAGGCTATTATGGTCGTGCGAGCTAGAGTTAGCTAGAGTGGTTCCGTGAGCTGCAAGCTACATGTTTCGAGCTTGGCCAAAGGGGGCTCCTTGTCGCAGTCTGCAAGCGCACAGCCTGCCTGGCAGGTAGACATGCCATCATCACGACTTTCGTCCCTCGGCCGTGCTGTACTGCTGCATGTCGCGGGCAGATACACTTGGGACATTCGCAGCTTCGAAAAGTTCTACTTTGCAGGTTTCAGCAGACACCTGCACCGTCGAATTCCGATGGACTGCTTGCGAACCGGGCATTTATTCGCGCCGTGGATGCTGCCAGAGCACAAGCGGCACAGCAGGCTCAGGCCGGACCCATCTCGGCATTTTTGGACCTACAGGCGAATGTTTCTGAGAGCGCGCGTGTCATTGCCACAGCCGCAGGTGCGCTTGCCGGACGGGGATGTCTTGGCGAGCGTTGCGAAGGGGAAAACATATGAGGGCAACTCGTTTTGCATTCATACCATTCTGATGCGAAGCAGTGGCTGGCCGACCATAGAGTACTGGCCAAACACAAGTTGTGTCTTGAGGAAAAGTACATAATGCTTGTGCACTAAGGCCGGATTGTCAAGGCCTTCAAGTTGGGCCGCTCGCTCGCGGTTCTGACTTCTGCTTGGCAGCCTAAGACATGCTCATTGTGGCGGTGGCTTGCACAGCCCCTGACATTGATCAGCCTCAGCTGTTGTCGCCTTGCTGCGCCGAAGGCCTGCTAATCGAAATCGACGCGGACGTTCGCGCATTGCTTCGATGGAAACACGTCAAGGGAGTGCCGAGGACAATCTTACAGTGCTTAGATTGGACCTGCGTAGCTTCGGGGTTCCATGGCCTCGGATCCACTGCGCTGACTCGGACAGGAAGCTGCTCAAGGAAGGTTGCTGGCTGGCATTCCTTCGTGTCGACAAGGTGCGGTGCAGAAGATGTAGGCAATGTCACGGGTGATGACACTCCTGCAGAGCGGCTTTAGTGGCTCTGCGGTGCGGGACTCGTGTTCGGTGCAAATGAAGTACTGTGTAAAAATCCCGGTGCCGGAAGCAAAACTTGAACGGTGTAGCATTGGCAGGTGAAAGGAACGAGAGTGTGCTTATGCCTGGAGTGCGCCGAAGTTGCAAGACTTGCGCAGCTCAGGTTGTGACTCGCTAAACTGCTGCGGCTAGTTTGCTGCTCCAGCTTGGTTTGGTTTTGAAGTCGGTGCCAAGGCCCTGGCAGCGACAGCCACGAAACCATCGAAGAGGATGGCTACGAAGAAATCCTTGCCCGGGTCCACGAGTGGGCTGGGCTTGAGCCAAAGGTGCTCGATTTCGAGGGGACCGACCCCGTCGCCAAAAGGCATCCTGGGCGAAACGGCCCACGGACTGTCGGCGATGGGCTCCCCATCCGTGGGCCTGCGCTGTTCAGCATGAGCCGGCTCCAACGAGCCGGCAAATGTGGCCCGCGGTGCCAGCTGTAGGGTGCTTGGATGCACAGGTCCAGTTGCAGCAGGCACAGAAGATCTAGCTGGCAGGCCTTTTGAGATGTACTTGCGACTACTTGTGAGCTTTGAAGCCTGCTACTGGCATGATGGGTACATCCACATGTGAAGCAGCACAGCTATAAACCGCAGCATGCTTACTTCTTGACCTTTGTTTGTGTCTGTTCTCGGCTGTTGACGGTGCGCCAAGAGTCTCACGGCAAGGACGGAGCTGGCTGTCCTTGCAAAGCAAGAGGGGCCGTTCATTGAACGCAAAGGCACGGCCAAAACTTGCTCCACGCAGTGCGACGAGTCGCGGAAAGGTCTGGAGGGAGGCAGTCTTTTGCTTCCCACCACTCGCCCGGGCAATCGTTGGCATTTTTGATCGTTTTGGGCTATGTTACAACAGGTACCAGCAAGGTCGCTATCCATGCTTATGTCCATAGCAGCTCAAGTTTGAATCCTTTACGAGTCAAGTGTTGTGGAGTTCGGGCTTGTTTTGCTAAGCATTGTTCAAACGTGCAATATGGCTAATTGCCTCCTAAACCTACGTGCATTGCCTTCTCAGACCAAGCACCGGAGCTCCGGGCAGGGTGTTGCCAACCATGAACAGTGTTCCTGTGATATTTGGGATCGTTGTGAAACCGAGCTACTCAGAACCGCACCATGGCTGCAGCGGCTACTTGCACTTCAATCCCAGACATCAGCAGGCCTATGCCCTTCATTCTAAACCCTGACCGACCGTACGTCAGCGGGAGCACTTGTCGCCCTCGACTGCGTACCAGGCCTTCCTGCAGTACAAGTCTGTGTCCCGCCGCTGAGTTGAACGATCATCTTGCTCATCAAAATGCAAACAGATGATGCAAAAGGGCACGCTACTGTAGCTTCATCTGCATACTTCAGATTTGATGGTCTCGAATTCGGAGGTTTCCAAGTTGCAAGTGTGCTTGAGCTGTGACGCGACAACATGCATTCCTGCTGCAGGAGTTGATCTGCTCACACGTGTTCTGGTCGCTCAACTCATTCAGCAGCTTTGTTGAGGTTCGATGTGGACGACGCCCTTTGCATCATGAAGGCCGAATGAACGCTTGCCATAGGAAACTTCTAAGTACATTACCCTCCCGGATTCTCGTGTGCTGCATCGTGCCCAAAGCTTCGTTTTGCTGCTGTGCGACCGAATTCATATCCCACAAGAACTCATGGTGATGCATGCTTCGGGGCTGAAATACTTCCCAGCATGATTGTTGAAGTAGCATCCCACTGGATTGTTTGACCATTCCTGTCGGAATCTTGCTTCAGTAAACAACCCGTAAGGCAGGAGATATAGATCGTTGCCTCCTGCCCGCCATCATCATCATCAACACCACCACGGCCGACAATAACAACAGCAGCACCATCATTTGCATCCTGATCGCCCTTGTCGTAGCCAAATTTATCTTGCCCCAAATTTTCTCGTCATCATATGGACATCTGCATCGGCAGAAAGTAGATGAGGAAGTTAGCCCGAACCTGAACCTGATGATAGACCCCCTAATACTTGTGCCTGTCTAAGCTTCTACATATACAGGGGTGTATATATATATATATATGTGGCGGAGGAGCATGAGAAGGAGCAGTTTCATCATAATCATCATCATCATCATCATCATCAGCCAGCGCAACATCAGCAGCGATGACGACGACGACCACAACGATGCTGATGGTGATGATATCGGTATGCTGACGATGTTGGGAAGGTGTTCATGAGGATGGCGACGACGACTTTGGTGACAGCGATGACAGTTGATGCTGATGTCGGGATGGCTGTGGTAACGTACGATTTGCAGGGCTTCTTCCGCGACATTACGATCCCGGACCGATTTGTGCGGCCCTTGCCACATGCCATTGTGCATTCTACAGTGCAGATTGTGCCGGTTGCTGGCAACCGTTGCAAGCAAGGGGCATCGCTAGCTTGCAACTCCCTGAATGTCACAACACGAAACCAGATCCAGATCAGGAAAGTTTTGCTTTCGTTCACCTGGATTCCGACCTCTACGACTCCGTCTACGATTCCTTGGAGAAGGCAACGTCATAAAATATTTTGTAGGACGTGGTGTTATCATGTCATATTACATTCGTACCATATAGTGGCCATGCATTGAGAAGAGACTGCTCAGTGGGTAGTGCAGAATGTCCCAAAATGGAGGTGTGGGACCGACTATCGCCGGGTGGTGCAGTGGCAGTGGATGACTTCTTCCACCATGCGCAGGCCTGACATCTCATTCCGAATAACAGTTGGAGTTTACGATGTAGGCTGTGAGGTTTGGCATTTTTTGCTTAGTAGTTACGGTATGAGCTCGTGGCAACGTTTTAAATAGCATCTGAGAGATCAGAATTCCCGACCGCACGGCCCATTTCAGAGCCGAAGCATTTGACCCCATGCGCAATGTCTACACCTGAAATTGTAGGAAGAAGTATGTCCTCCATCCACAACTTGACACCACCAGAATCCCAGACTGTGAGCCTGATTATCTGCATACACTTTTCCAAAGACTCAAACCTTCAGAAATACAATATAAAAGCCGGAAGAAGAGTGTAATATAGCATAACATACTCCAAAGCCATGCTCTACTTGTCTAAGGCCCCCATATTCACAGTCCCTAAATCCTAAGCCATGTTCTAATTATTCAAGCCCCCCATATTTACAATCCCAAAGATCTCCTCGCCTCTTTCAGGGCCCAGCCCGCGCCGTTTCCGATTTCTTCCGGTCGCGGGCCAGCAAGGCAGAATCTTGCAGTTTAGGGTTTTAGGGGTTTAAGGTGTAGGGGTTAAGGTTTAGGGTTTAGGGCTTACGGGGTATGGTTTAAGGTTTAGGGTTTGGGGTTCTTGTAAAGCTTGATTCACATGGATTTAGGGCTTAATGTTTGGATGGTGTAGCATCATTCGTCGGACGTTGTTACGATCGTCTGAGGAGAACAGGACTAATTTCATAAGCGAAAGTAGCCACGGACAGTTTAAATAATGTCTTTCGAAGCAGCTGCTTGCGATGGTAGTGTCCCTGATACAAAGATCAGCAATCATGTTGCAACTGTCGTTGCTGTTGCTGCTCTCCTGTTGTCATCGGTTGCTGTTTCCGGGCTCGCTGATTTCATACAGGTTTCATGTCATGCGGGTTCAATTCTAGCTGTGCTGAGCTGTGCAGTAACTTGCAGCCACCCCTTTGAAAGAATTCTACAAAGTAAGTTTGACTAGCATATCTCGTGCAGTCAGCAAGTTTTGCAGTTCGACAAATTTTGCAGTTCGACACGACAGCCTGCAAGCACGAACTGCAGAGGCGTGAAACCCTAAACCTTATAGACGCAAAACCCTAGACCCTCAGTCTTAAATCCTGACCACCATTGACCTAGATCCTGAGCCCCAAACCCTAACCCTAAACCTGCAACTTTAACTGTAGCAGCATTACGCTTGGCATCATCGGCTCGTTCTTACTGTAGCATATGGCGTGCGAGGAAACACAGCGAATACAACGATCAGGAAGGCTGTGCCGTAGTTTAGGATTCTTGAGATACTATAATGTACTATGCTATGCTATGCTACGCTATCCGATATTACGGTATAGCAGAGTATACTTTACTATATGTTGCTCTAATAATAATAATAATAATAGATACCATAGCACTATACCAGACTCTCTATTTTACTATCATATCGCATAGCATCCTTCACCATAGTATAGTCTGTTGTGTTTGTAGGGTTAAGGGCACTGCAAGAATGGAGTTGGGCAGAACCAGGAGCTCTCGATGTTTGACTTGGAAGCTTCGGGCCCATGCTTCGTGGACGGGGGGAAAGGGGCTGTTCTCAGAAGAGTAATAGTACAGTATGGTATAGCATAGTATAGTAGAGTTTGTATTAGTATTCGTAATCGCATCAGTATGAGTATTTGTATCAGGTGTAGTATAGTATAGTATAGTATAGTATAGTATAGTATAGTATAGTATAGTATAGTATAGTATAGTACAGTACACTATGCTATATATTATAGTCTGGTCTAGTCTAGTCTAGTCTAGTCTAGTCTAGTGCAGTATGATATAGTTTCGTTTCGTATAGTGTATAGTGTAGTATAGTATAGTATAGCAATGCATGTACAGTACAGTATATAGTATAGTATTACAGTATAGTACTCCCCCCAACCCAACCCCCTTTTAGCCATGAAGGGTTCGGCGCTGAACCCAGGCTTGCGGTTTAGGGTTCAGATGAGACCATGTCCATACAAATTTGGACGCCAGGAGGAGCCTCCTTTGCTTTTCCCGATCCCCACCTATGCAGTGCGAGACTGAGCTGCCTAGTTTCATGCTGCAAGCCGAGAAGGCAGGTAGGCAAGTCGGCATGTAGCTATGTAGGTAGTTAGATCGATGGGTGGGTGGGTAGGTGCAAGTAAGCATGCATGCATGCATGCATGCATGCATGCATGCATGCGTGCGTGCACGCATGTATGCATGTTGGTATGTAGGTATGTGGTGTGTATATGGGTGTGTGTTTGTTTTTGGTTTGTTTGTGTGTGTGTGCGCGTGCATGTGTGTGTGTGTGTGTGTGCGTGTGTGTGTGTGGGTGTGTTTGTTTGCATGGTGCGTTTGGTTTTGGTTTGTGCGTGAAGGCAGCACACACACACACACACATCGTGAGTGCCTTTCTGCTTACGTAGGTGAGTTCATAGGGCCGTATCCAAATGTGCAAGACTAGCAAAGAGTTCAGACCAGACACTCAAGCAAGGTCGCGCGTTTAGGGTGTAGGTCTGCGCACTGCGAAGGACAAGTACCGGTTCGTAAAGTAGACCCCGGTCCTTAAGGACCATCATCGTAGGATCCCAGCTGTAATCCTTAGTACGATGTCTGCATACATGCCAGCGATTGCGGTGGACTTGTGAAATGTACATCGGCATAGGAAAAGAGGAAACTCCGAATGACCTAGCGAGCAGCACAGAGATAGGAATGCAGGCAGATTCCTGCAAAACGGCATGCACGTACTTTGACAGATGGGCCATGTATGTGCCCACATGAATTCTGAATACCTGCACAACAGAGCAGGATGCAACAATTTGCCGTGGGCTGGTGTAGATTTCAGTAGCGAAGGACAGCAGGTTTGTGTCAGGTGATTCAAGGCCCCAACCACGATTCGCATGCAGCTCGTAGGGCGCAGCTCTCTACATACGAAGCAGACCAAACTGCACTGCACGTCATTCCATGGGATATCTCGCCGCCAAGATGGAAAACACAATGGACATAATTAAGCAGACAGAATATTTGGATCTAATCAAAGGTGCTCCTCATCAAGGGCCAGTCGGCGCGCGTCGGCTGGCAGGCGCGGCTGACCGCGAGAACGTTTTCCGAGCAGTTTGCTACATGGATTTCGGGCTGACGGGTGAAATTCGCCACTTGCGGAACTTAGCTTATGTGCTTCAGATCCTTACAGTCTTGTCACGCAAGCTGCTGACCGAGATGCGCCGCATCTTCACATTACAATTGAAACTCTAGTGGCCTTGGACAACGCGCAAGAAGATCTAACGGTGCCATGTTGTGCAGGATACGCCGCAGGGGTCACAACGCCCCGTCATGTATGGCCCTCGTCGGCCACTCAGCGTGCTTCCGCCCGGGATTGAGGAAGTAGACCAGCAGAACAGCAGTCATACCCACAGTCATGGCGGTCACAAGGGTAATGATTCATGACGGAACCGAAACTCAGTCTGACTGCAAACATCAGAAGCATTCCACGACTCAATAGGGGATGGTAGGTAACAGAGCAGTCAGACTACTCATGAAGTTGGAGGTTGTGTAGGATGTGACAACCATAGTTCAGTTTGCCGAGATGACGATGAGCAAGGTGTGGTGATTATAGCGTTGATGCTCTGGTCTACGATGCATGTGTTGATCATGGTGATGGCGATGGTGATCGGGCCGCTGCTGACACTTGCTGCCGATGTTGCTGCTGCTGATGATGATGATGATGGCAGTAATGATGATCATGATGACGATGATGGTGATGATGATGATGGTGGAGATTGGTTACGAAGATTCATTTAATAACCATGGTGATTGCATTGTGGCACTGTAGGCCCGTAGGGAATCCGTAACAACAGATAAGCCGCGGCACTCAGCAGTTGGCAGTCTTTGGAAAGCAGTAAGCAAAACGAAGCAACGTGTACCCATCCCTAACCCCCCCAGGTACCTACTATAGCTAGTACCCTATATAGTGGGTACCTGAGGGGTTAGGGAATATTAAACCAAACGGAAAGCACTTTTTGGAACACGTCTTGTAACCTGGTCAGGATGTGGCCATCAATCCCACAGGCAACGGTAGCTGGTCGACACAACTAGTAGCATCAAGAGTCATATAACCCATTGCAGCAGGACCAATGTTACTTGTCTCCATGGCAAACACTATGAGGCAATGTCGCTCATGCTGCCTACTAGCAGCTTGTGCCTTGTTAACTTGAACTATGTTCGCGTGCGTTCAACTCCGTATGAACATGCGTAGTGAATTATGTCTATGTGCCGAACTAGACTTGTGCAGTTCTTCCATGCCCGTTCAGGTTGTAATTGCAGAGCTGTTCCGGCTGAGGAGTAGTTCTTACCCTTACCTTATTCTCGGGTGCAAGCCGAAAACACCTCTCCACTGCCATGCGCAGGATTGTGGAAACGGCGTTCAGGTTCCAGGGGTCCTTCAACTCCTCACTTGCAAACCTGTCAGAAGATGTCGACCTTTCGTGTATTACTGTTATATGTAATATTACTGCATGTTATAGTATTGCTAGAAACCCTAAACCCTAAACCGTTTAGGGTTTAGGATTTAGGGTTTAGGGTTCAGGGTTATACTATTGTAGTGTAGTAAGTAAGCATAGTATGGTACACTCTGCCCCCTAAGCCCAGAGGCTCTCTCCACGATCTCCACGAACCAGCCTGTCCCCGAGCCTCCGCACCCTTGCAGCAGGATCTATCGATGGCAACTTCTACAGTTTCACCTTCCTCCGAAGCCTGGGGCTCAAATAGGGTTTAGGGTTTAGGGTTTGGGGTTTAGGGTTTAGGGTTTAGGGTTCAAGGTTTTTTTTGTCGTCGTGGCTCGAGTCGAATCGACGCACTCCTGAATTCTGACACGGGCCTTAGAGGCTCGTCCAAAACTCGATGCGCGCTCTGCGCAGCATCGGTGTGGGTCCGACCAGAAGCCTGGAGCCCTTCATAACAGCGGCCAAATCGCCAGCTGTGACATAGTGCTCATCATCATCAAGATGGGCAACCTCTGCCAACTGCGCCGTAAGCGAAACTATGGGACGCAGCCAGTCATCGTCACTGAAGCCCTTAAACCAAGCAAAACCCTGCTCAACCGAACGAAGCCAACATTGCAGATAGGAGGGTACCTGATCGACGGTGCGAAGAGCAGCAATCGCAGGTAGCACATGGCGACTGGGAGCTGGGCGTGCCGCTTCAGGCGGTGGCGGACAAAGAGTGGCCCACCAAGGCTTCGGCCCATGCAGATCGACAGGTGGTGCCATCCGCGGGCCAGTTTTAGCGGCACAGTCGGCAGGGTCCAGATCTGAGTGCTCATACGTGCGGGCACATCTGGGAGACCGTCTGAAATGATCTTTCAGGCGCTCCAGCGTCCAGTACTCACGCCGGCACACTTCACACGCCGAGCCCCAGGCAAAGGACGGAGGAGCGCGTTTGGCATGGCGCTTGGAGCGATGAGAGGCCAATGCCGAGGCGTAGCTAAAGGCAACACCGCAGTCCTCACAGACATGGGCAAGTGCATGCCCGGCATGTCCGGGCTCAACCGTGGCAAACACCAAGCCCCAGTCCGTTGCCTTTTGGTGGGCCATCGCTTTGCGCAGTGCACCCTCAGCATGCTGCTCACGCTGCTTCAGACACAGGCGTCTGAACTGCTTAAGCTTGGCAGCCGTGCTCGCTCTACTATAAGGCCAGAGGCGGACCCACTTTGCTCCATCGCAGGGCAGATCAGCAAACGCTAGCATATCCTTGTCACCAAGAGCCCGTGCCAACTCACGGCTCGAGTCACGCGCTTGCTGGAGCCAGCCTTGCTCATCCGCAAGGGCGTGCAACAGGTAAGCGTCGGCCTTGTCATGCACTTGCGACAGCAGCCGCACACGGCGCACAGTGATAGCCTCCGCAGGGCTGAGCACGTTGGTCAACGCCAGAATCTGGTCCTCCGATAGACGGCGGCAAGGTACGCCGTGCATCGGCCTGATGCTGCCGCGAAGGAAACTGTAGTACTTGCTGGAGTAGGTCTGGTAGGCCCGTTTAGCCTGCAGGTCCCACGTGCCTGCATTGTGCAGGTACTTGGACAAGATCATGGAGTCAAGTAGGGTTTGCTTCTCCTGCAGTGAAAGGTGCTTATTACATAGAAGCCTCCTGCGGAAGGGAGCGTATGCTTCGGAGGCGAGTCGTGCTCGTCTTTCAACTTCATCCTGCGTGGAACCTCGCCCATCACGCCGGGAACCGAGGTGAACATATGAGTCAACACAACGCAACTCCACAGCATCCCCCCCGGGCAAGCAAACAGGTATCTTAGCACCCATGAGTGACCATGACCCGTGTGCGCACCGCCACAGAACCGGCACCATGTAGGCAGAGGACTGCCTCAGTTTTGCCTACCCCAAAGTTAACCTCAATGCCAGCAACAGCGAAGTATTGGCACACCAGGGCAGCAGCTCTGCTAGTGTCCCGTGCGACCTCCGAGGGCCCCTTGGACGTTACCAGTATGGTGACATCATCAAGCCAGGACTGAGGAGTGGCCCGGACTGGCCCATCCGCACAAGAAACCGTGGCTGCCAACCCTTCAGCTTGAAGCTGGTCCGACAGACACGATATCGAGAGCCCAATCACATACTGGAAGAGGATATCAGCTATGGGCGACCCTGGCGTGGTGCCCTTAGCCGTGGCATAAACCTGCGATGCGGCCAGGTCAACAGAGAACCATGTCCTTGCCAGTGCGGACCGCAACAACATCACATTCGGCTCAGCAACTCCAGCACGCTCTAGGGCTCCCGTAGCGGAAAAGGCGCTGATGACTCGGCGCCGCACAGAAGGCTCAAGGGTGAGCTTGTCAAAGTAAGCCCGAAGGCTTCCTGCCTCCTGTGTGAACAAGTGGCCCCTATGCGCAGCATAAAACGCGGACACACCGTCAACAAAGAGGATGGACCCAGCAAGCCCGCGCTTCTTAAGCCTAGAGGCATGGGCCTGCACACACAGCGACGGTATGTCAGCCGGGAATCGCTTCCGTGCCCCACCAATCGTGCTGATGGTGTGCCGCTCGAAGCAGTCATGCAAATCGCGTCGGGTGGAGCGCAGCACAGCTTTCCCAGCAGGCTCAACAAGGGCTATAGACCTATACCCTTCAAGTCTGTCACCAGGTTTCCCAGGCTTGGGGATTGGGTGTGCGCGCAGACCGCCCCACAATGTGGGAAAAGTGAGGCGCGCAATGGACTTAAGAAGTATCGGCATATGCACAAGCGCCGCCTGGGCCGAACACGCCTGGTAGGCTTCGGGGGGTATACCACTGATCCCACATGCCTTTCCGGGTGACAGCGAGGCAAAGGAAGCTGCCAAATCGGCAAGTGTCGGCGCCCCGGAGAGTGAGACCGAGCTGCGCAAAACATCAAGGCCGCCAATCCGCTTCAACTGCTTGAGCTCAGTGGCAGTGGCCGCCTCAGCGATCGCAAAATGATCACCAAACGCCTGTAGCACATCCTTTGCTTCACAAACCTCACCACGGGCTGTGCGGAGGATGCACGGGATGCCAGCGCTGCTTCCACTGCGGCCGTGCTTGAGTATTGTGCGCAGCTTGCGGTACAAGGCGGAAGGGCCCTGCTCCCGACAATCTTGGTAGGTCAGGCGCACATATTCAGCCTCATCCCGACGGCTGGCATCACGTAGGTCGCAGCTGAGCCTACGCATGGCCAAGATATGCCTAGCCGCAAGCCTGTCAAACGCCGCAACCTTGGACCGACCGCGAGCTCCAGCACCACACGACTGCCCTCTCCACGCCTGAAGACATTGGTAGAGCACCCAGTTGCGGAACAAAGCAGACTGACGTCTGAATATCCGGCGCTGCTGCCTTCGGGCCGCCAGGAGTTTCCACGTGCCAAGCGACAAGCACGGTCGACGGGGGGCAGCCCCACCAGGAAAGTATTGGAGCAAACCCTGCTGCAGGTGACGGTTGATGATAGCCAAATGCTGATCAACTGAAACGCACCATGGAACAGCAGGCACAGTATCAAGGAGATGTCGCAGCATGTCGTGGCCCTGCTCTGTGCGCATAGCCACGCGGTCAAGTCTTGTCGCGGGTCGGGGCGGCCTAATGATATCCATTGAAAAGGAAATTGCGACAGGCTCATGGTCAATCCCCGCATGCACATCGAGGATGGGCAACAGTCCCTGCCACGTACTACCATTCTGCCAAGCTTGCGGATAAGCAACGTAATCCAAGCAGGCACTTGCACCAGCCGAACCAGCCGGAGGCCTCCAGGAGACTCGGCAGGTACCATCCGACTCAAAGGAGTGCGTTCTGCTGAGGTGGTGGTCCTGCAGTACCTCAACCAGCTCCAACGCATTGCAATTGTCCGGAACCTCACCCCCATCCCGCAGGGTAAAGCGGGCGTTAGCATCAAGCATGAGCAAGGGTTGATGACAGGCAGGCATAGCGGCAAGTCTAGCACGCAACATAGCCCACCAGTCTCTCCGGTCCGCCTCAGGTGCAGATGCTGATGGGCAGTGTCCAGATATGGCAACAACGGCCTGCTGACCCAACCTAGCATGGACCTCGACGAGCCTCGGATGTCGGAAAGTGCATCGGAAGGCACTCTGCACCCACGGTGCGGCTGCCACATTAAACCACAACTGGCACCCGAACTGACCTTCAGGAGCAGGCCCCCCAAACCGGCAAATGCCCTGGGTGGTTGCTTGCGTGGCAACTTCGCAACGTGTCTCCTGCAGGCCTAGCACATGCAGCTTGTTGCGTGTCATATGCTGCACAATACATTGTCGCTCCAGGGCAGTCTTGCATGACAAGGAGTTGTAGGTGGCGGCACACAAGTCGACACGCACTGCGACTGGCAGGTCAGAAGGCACCGGCATAGCCCAATCCGCTGGAGCATTCGGAAGTGGGTCCTCGGCAGCAGCACAGCAAGGAACAGTATCGCCATCGTTGGACACAAAGGGCCAAACGGGCGAAGCACGATGCGCGCGGTACAACCACAACCAATCGAATGCATTCTCAGCAACATATTGGGGTATGTTGTCATCCCCCAGGCCGCGCCGTGCAAGCGGCAGGGCAATAGCACGCTTAGCCAAGCCATCAACTAGCTCATTCAACGGGTCACCTCTGTGCGACGGCACATGGTGCATGGCCGGCCAGCTGCCCTGCACGCCGATTTGTCCAAACAAGTTGGCAGCGGCACGCGCAATGCAAGTCTGCGCGCTCGACTGAGCCTGCCCTTGCGCGACAATCGCTGCTGAGGTGCAGTCAAAGAAGATAGTAGATGGCTTGCCAATGCATGCGATGGTGCCAAGCGCAACGAATTGCGCGTAAAGCTCGCAGTCAAACGGCGTACCAGCCGCAACGGGCTCATGCATAATATCACACACATATCCAAACCATTTCCAGTCGTCTTCGACAAGACCCAGACAACACACTGCCCAAGCGCCGTGCAAACCATCCCAAGAACCATCCACATAGAACATATATGCAGACGGTACCTCCGCGGGCTCACAGACAGGCAGCTGCTCAAGGAATCGACGCGCTGCAGGGTGCAGCCCTGCCGCAGCAGGTTTATCACGACAGTAGTAATGGAGGGCGAAGCCGTCCAAGACGACATGTTCAGCATCATTGGGAACTCCGAGCCGAAGTACACCCTCTCCGTTGGCAGCATGGATATCATAGGCCCGCCCACCAACTCCCTCGCCAGGACCTCCATCAGCGGCAGCATCAGTGGGGAGGAGATCATTGAGAGCTATGCACCT